CAACACATTCGTACCCATTCCTTTCTTGACCTGCGTTCAAGCTCGGCCGGCGTTGGTATCCCCTACTTTGAGATCACCAGTTTTTACACATTGAGGATGAATGCTAGTCCCAAGCATCATCTATTGGTTCTCTGTGCGATTACAGCTGATCAATCAATAACCGCAAGGAACCGTGGGCGGTCAATCATGCTCATGGACGTGCCTAAAGTTTGCGTTCCTATATGAAGTTGCCTAAATATTCAAGAAGTTTTCTCAAGCTCTCCAACGTTCCAGACATTTTGTTAATATGCATAGAACTTCCCTGAGGACCCGACAATTTTCCTGAAATTTTTTAAACATTCCAGAAAGTTTTGAAATATTCCATAATTCCTCGGAACTTCTAGAAAGTTCCTGCAACTAATTTATGGACCTGCTCTGAAGATGCCTGAACAATGAACCGGATGAAACTGCCTATAAATCCATAATCTTCTTTTGGATCTCCGTTTCTCAGAACTTCTGTAAAGTTGATTGAACTGCTTTGAGGTTCTTTGGTCTTCTCTGATGTTCTTGAAACTACTTTGAAGGTTTCACAGTTCTCCTTAAGTTATTAGTCTTCTTCTTCTCAATATCCTTCTTCTTCTTCGCATTTCAAGCTTAATGCTCAACGCATTTTAGCTTATTGCGTGCTCTCAATTTAGTGTTCGATACACTTCCACAGTTATTAATTAAGAATTTTCGATGCCTGTACCATTTTTGCATTAGTATAATCGTGTGGCAAGTACAATCATACTCTATTGCCCAGGGAAGTCGAACAATTTTCCAATCCGAAAAATTCCTAGACCGGACCGGGAATTGAACTCAGCCACCTTCAGCATGGTCTTGCTTGCACCTTTACCGACTGAGCTAAAAGAGGCAGTTAACTGTCCTAAAAATCATTAAACTTTCCTGAAAATCTTTGAACTTCTGTAAACTTCTCAAAACATTTCTGAAGTTTTAATTCCCGGAATTTTTTCCGTAGTTAATTAAGTTTCCTCAAATTTATAGAAAATAACCTTTTTCAGATCTTCCCAGAATTAATAGAGATTGCCCAAAATAAATCTGAGCTTCTGTGAGGATCTGTAGACCCAGCTTCTCTAAGGTTCATGGAGCTTATTTAAATTTTGTTACGATTTTCCTCAAGTTCTTTGGATTTGTCTAAAGTTATCATGACTTCCTAGAACCTAGTAAAAATGTCTGCAGCTCACTTGAAGCTGATGAAATCGCTTCCCTGAAGTCACATAACATATCAAGAGCCACAGGTGAAAAGGGCATACAAGCTTTTTGTAAACAAACCTTTGTAGGCCCTTTTCTCGCCAACCGAGGGTCACCCACGCAAACCATCAACATCACCGGGTAGGGGAAACTTCCCCTTCCTGATGATGTTGATGGTTTGCGTGGGCGACCCACGGTTGGTGAGAAAAGGGCCTACAAAGGTTTGTTTACAAAAAGCTTGTATGCCCTTTTTACCTGTGGCTCTTGATATGTGGAACTCAAAAATCGACCCCATTTCAGTGATTTCAAGTGGTATAGAAGGACATCGATCTGTCAAATTGATTATACCAGCTGTTAAATGAGAAAGGGGATCAAGGGGTTTGTCAATTCTTTTGAATGATTCTGTCGTGGTTTATAATTCTATGTGTTCCTAGCTCTCCTGAACTCATGTCTTACTATTTCCTTAACCAAATTAACAAATTCGTCACCTTGATTCACACAGCAAAACTGTGGTAAACTTAGAAGACGCGTGTATATAAAATTACCTTTCTATTTATTTATTTTTGGAACCAATTGCATCAAACTTTCGTTAGGTTTCATATGAGGAAAAACATGACCGCTTAAATTTGGAATTAAGTGTTTTCATTTTAAAGTCCAGAGAGAAGCAGCAAAATTTGGAACAAGAGTCAGAAGTACCATTTGAAAAATATTCAGCGTTTTGACCTGACCTTGCATCGTTCCATTTGCAAGAATTTTGTAAGCAGAACGATAAATGAAATCGAGTGCTTATCGATATCTGCAATATCCAAGATTTTCCTATGTTTCTAAATTGCCGTTAATTGAAAATTTCCTCAAAAATCCCATCACAAAGAACTACTCCAATTACATTTTAACAAAAAACATGGTAAGGTTGATCCTTGTTGATTGAAAAGGCAGAAGAAGAGCTACACACAATCATAACAAACTTTTTTTCGACCACTATGGCTAAGGTCCTAGGGTGGGACTCCTAGCTAGCTGTATCAAAGTTAAGCACTATTTACTAACGAAAATAATCTTTAATATGCATCAACTCGATATTTCGTGATGTGATCATAAGTTGACTCACTAAAAACACAGTTAACATTATTTCAACATACAATGGACAAAATAATAGTCCTCAAATCTTCGTTTGCATTAAATTATATTCAATAAACATAATTTCCGTCATGAATCCAATCCAAACAAATAAGACGAAGAAATAATGCATCTGTATAAAGGCAATATTACTGAATAACAACGCTCTTGATTGGCTTCTGACCGACTTGAAAATACTAGCTAACAATCCTCTGAAAAGCCCCCTGTCGAGCTAGTCGAAAAGAATGCCCACACGTCAAACTCCGTCAAGCATTTAAACAGCGGACGAACACCATCTCATTACGCATTACCGTGACTATTGGCAATTTGCCTCTTCGGTCACTCTGTAACTCTTCACTCCTATGGTAAAATCCGATAGGCTAACATCAGTCTGTGCGTGAAACTTGGTGAACATTTCCTTAGCCTTTCACTCCTATGAAAATCTCATATGATTCTGTCAATCTTTGCGTGAATAAACGGTGGCTTGCTGGAGCTATGAAAAGATAAGACAAAGTCCGCTAGATTTCATGCACAGATTGTCATATGCTTATGGGATTTTACCAGGAGTAAATAGTTGCAGAGTGGCCGTCAACGTCAATACTTACTTTCATAAGGGCCAATGCTGCAACCGCAAACGATTACTTTTTGTGTAAATTTCTCGAAAAAGAAGCTATTATTTATGTTTTCGACATTGGTCTTTATGAATGCTCAGTGTTGATATCACGAAAATTTTATTTTGACAGATCGATGTCCAACTATGCCAGTTATACCACTGAGGCAAAACAAAAAAGGGATCAGATTTATGTTATGTGCTGAATTGCTCGAAATTTTACAGAATTTCGCTGAATTTCTCTGCTTGCCGTGAAACTTCCACGAAATCCTTGGTATTTCCTTACACTTCTCGGAACTTTTTTAAAGTTCCTACAATTTTTGTGGACCACTCTGAAGTTCTCGCTATTCTTCTGATGATGTGCCTGGAATGGCCCTGAAATTATGACAGTAATGACCCGATTTGGTCGATTTTATCCTAACCGTTCTGCCCGACAACCGGCAGTCAGGCATCACCAAATTTCGTCTTGCCGAACCCCTCATACTCAATTTGATTATACGATGTGGTAATCAAACTGTCAAGTAAGAGCAAATAAAGACGTTTTTTTCCTTGATTTGTTTCCTTGATTTGTACTGAGTACCAATGCTACTGACGCCAAGGAAGCAGGTTCCACACGTGGACCCTACCTATCAACTCATCAACTCATGAACTGAAGACTGCCTTTACTTACCTTCAAAAGTGGCACCGACTGCAATTGAATTCAGGCCCTTTGGGGTGAGAGTAAATCAAACTTACCACTACACCACCGGCGCCGCTATTGCAGAAAGACCTATCGACTGCGAATGTTTATACAGGTGAAATAGTTTGTGTGGCTAACTAATGATCGCAAACGGAAAGACATGTTGAATCAAATTTTAAAATCTTTAGATACCTAGTCCTAGACAACAAAAGTAATTCTCTTTGTTCTCATTTAAATTTCCTATCATCCCGAAAGCTCATTAAAAATAACTTTAATTCTTCAGCAAAAGTATTTGGTATCTCTTCGAAGCCTTAATGGCTGTATCCTCTGCATACTCATCGAAAGCTTTCCTAATGTTATATTACTACACATTCCCTAAAGGCCACATGATATTTCCTTTATGAATCCATCAGAAATCTCCTCGAACAACTCCTGGAACTATTTTCTTAGGAAGTTAAACGAGACTTTCCCGGAAACTTCGTGCAGTTTCTGTACTGGGCTATGTAGCATCGGTTCATTACGATTTGCTGAAGTTGTTTAAGGTATTTCGCAGTGAGATTCTTATTCTCGTAACCAATTTGAAACTAAATGTACACAAATATCAGCTTGCACGACATGTACTACAACAAAAACTGTTTTTCCAAGTTTGCTACACTGCAGCATACATGAAGAAGCAATTTCAGGTGAAATGGGACACTAATGTCTGAGATTTGTTGAAATAGAAAATTCGTTGTAAAGCCTACGTGGCGGCCATTTGTGAACTCTAAAAGGAATCACTTTAAGGTGCATAATTGGTGCCCCTGAATTCCTCATGTATTCTAAATTGTGATGACAATTTTTTGTAATTGATCATTATTATAAGAAAATCTATCAACCTTGAAGTTTTTGAAAATTCCTTGAAGCTCATGGAACATCTGTCTACATTTCTAAACTTCTTTCTAACTTCTCCGCATGTGCCTGAAGTTTGCACAACTCGATGATTAAAAAGGAGCTCGTTTGCCTAGTGGCAAACGTTTTTGCTTACTGAGCAGAAGATCGTGGGTACAATCCCAAGCTCCTTCGCGATATTGAATCGTTAGGACATCAATTCAGCATATCGTTTACCGAAACGAATTCTGCTGCAATCCCTACCCTTTAACCCAACATCTCAGTGATTCCTCGTGGAAGTGCAGATAACTCATCGGCTTCCATCAAAGCGAGTGCTAATATGATCCGATTTGGACAAATTTTTAGATATACCAAATGCAAATCTTCATAAATATTCGCTTCGTAAAATTTTAAGAAAATATCATCCATTTACAATCAAAACCCATGCAAAGTCAAGTGTCAAATCGAACTAACTCCACATCCTAATCCTCTCTCTTCCAGGCCCCACCAAAGTACGCCTTCAAGTACGGCGTGAACGACTTCCACACCGGTGACGTCAAGAGCCAGCACGAAACCCGCGACGGCGATGTCGTCAAGGGCCAGTACTCCCTGGTTGAACCGGACGGTTCGGTGCGTACCGTTGACTACACCGCCGACAAGCACAGCGGATTCAATGCCGTCGTGCACAAGACTGCTCCGGTTGCCCATCACCACGGTGGCGAGCACTACTAAGCCCAATAGGAGCTAGGATCGCACTGTCGTCGTAGACTGCGTTTTTGCCTTTTCTTACCAAAAACCAAAACTTAGGCCATCGCGTGAGAAACTCTTGCGGATGGCTTCTCGGACGCCATTACGGACATTTATCTTTAACACACCGCTACCGTCACATCCCCTATTGAGTCCAACATTTCCGGAAAGCTACAGTCCTACACTGATACGTGCTACGCATTTGTCCAGCTCCGTTCGTTGATCTGAACTGTGATACCCCCCTTGTTGTTATTTGTTGTTATTTTGTTGATGTTATTTTTTGGCACTCTGAGGTTACCGTTCCATGCTTTGCAGCTTAAGAAACTCGCCGGTGCAGCATGGAAGTGAAACCGATCAAATTTGAATAAAGTAGCTACTTAACGAACGGAAAAGTCAACCGCGTAAGACGATCAGGAAAAGCCAATAACGGTGCACGTTACAAGACTGGAGGCGAACAACTGCAAGGCACCTTATGTAAATACTGAGGACTCCTACCGGGTATCGATCCATTTCCGAAAACAGCAGCTGAAGTAGTAGCAACATCGTATTGCTGCCTAGTGCGATGGCGATGACTTCTCAAAACTGGTTTCCCTGATGGTGATAAGCTTGAAAATATGGCCTGGTGATAAACGATACATGCACCAAGAACTGGTTGATATCCGCAAAACCAACTCCAACCAGCCATAGCGGATAAGCAGGAAACGTCGAATGTGGAAATTTATCGTGATCTTAAGTAATTTCCACCACTGCCGAGATGTCTTTCATTTGTGATGCAACGACTCTTCCTGACCAGGGCCTTGTCGTCACCATCCGCGCAGCCGCCGCCATAGAGAGGGACGTGTAGAAATGTGGACTAGCCTGTTTTTTTTTCACTCGACATGCTTTCAGACTAACAAGACTGATCACTTTTCCTTTTCGTATTTTCCCAGCCCAATAGGCACTCTCATTACTACCACCCATTTCAGTTTCACCGGTAGCTAAACAGCAAAAACTTGTTACTTTGTATTTATGTTGATATATAGTTTTACATTAGACGTCGCGGAGCAATTTTTATATGCCTTTTTTTCTTTCTCTTGCTAATTGGTAGCATACCTGCTGTTACGCTCTAGCTATTATAATTAAGTGAGAATAAAAGAGAAGTTGAGCTGTGCGAAATAAATGTTGCGAAAAAATGATGATTTAATAAAAAGAAGTGAGTTAAACAATTGAGTGATTGGTGTTTTACTTTGCGGTTAAATTGTGGTGATCAGGTTAATTGTGCTTCGTTATGCGGTATTTAAACAAGTATCACAACTGTTTCGTTTGAAAAAGCTTTGTTTATTATCCCCAGAGTCAGTGGTTATTCGTTTGGATAGGTTTTGTCGTTTGAAATCCGAAACATACCTTCTTTTTTCTTTGGGTTTCCCTGATCGGTAATATTCTCACCAATAATTAGTCTTCTTTTTTAACTCCTTATTTGTTCCAAATTTAACCTAGGTGCTCCAGGTACTACAGTTGCTTACTAGCCTTAATTGTTATGATATATATCTAAGTGTTTTTACATTGTTCCTGCCTTGGCAATTCAGTATTTTAAGTAGCTTTTTTTTAAACCTGCATGTCAGTATGAAAATTAACATCTAAAAACTAAAAATTAAACTAAATCTTATCTTAGTATAAAGGGAATATGAGGATTGCAACGATTTTTGCCTGAATTATTAATTATTTAAATAATTATTTAAACATTTGAACTAAAGTCTCAACATTCAAAACTCTATGTACCTCGGTAGTACTGTACCAAGGAGGAAACTTTAAAATCATCATCAGAACTTTGTTCTGAATCCTTTGAAGTGCTTTTTTCCTGGTAGTGCAACAACTAGACCATTTTGGCACAGCATAAAGCATGGCCGTTCTAAAAACTTGTTGAAATATTAGATGTTTATTCGTCAGGCAAACCCAAGTAGCATTTCTTGTTTTATACCACTCTATTTGTGGTTTTTTAGATCAATTTTATAAAACCGTCAATAAAATGAATAGCTCCAGCACAACCTTTTGATAACCGCTATAAGATCGTCTTCCAGCTTAGTGGACCCACTCTTGATAAGGTTTATAAAGCATGTTTGAGAATCACAATAAAGCTGTCTTACAACCTTTTGTAAGAAAGCCCCATACTCTACAAAAGGTTCTCATAGCCTCTTTAAGAGTAATATTGTATTCAAGCAGTTTTATTACGCTTTGGTGAAAATCAGCTATAAATCCAATTTAATTTTTATAGGCTTCAAAGCAACCGCCATAAATTAGCTTGTTGTTGTTCTGTTCTGCTGAAACTTTTTTTTTCATATGGAAATCTTTAGCGGTAAACATAGGTTTGAGTGTTGGTGCCAAGATCACCATGCAATCAATTTTGTTTCATGGCGACATAAGTGAAAATCTTAAAAAAAAATATATGACTTTTAAGTAATTCCAAATCATATGCACTAGAAATTTTATCGTGTATATTGGGATAATATGAGCGTTAAATAAATGCGCCTCCAAAATAATTCAAGTTAACAAAAAATTATTTCAGAAATCAAATGACTTTGATGGAATCATCTTAATTTTACAGAAAATAGATCTCAATAAATAAATGCATACCAATGCACACTGGAAATCAATTCGGATCTCTAATTTAGCGATTATTTTATTGAAATTTCTTGGATTTTATTCCAAGGCTAATGGCATTTTCAAAATAACAATATGGCAACAGAGGATTTGCGAAAAGAAATTACATTTTCTGCGATAAACCTGATTCCTCTGCATCATGTCAGCAATAAATCAAGTTGTTTGTGACATAACCGTTTTAAACCTACCATAAAACTATCCCAAACTTCTTCTTTTTTCTTCAGATGGTGCTTAGGTTGATCATATCTCAAGTAACAATTCTGCAATCATTTGGCATCCACTCTGATTTATGATGGTTTTATAATGGCAATGAATGATCCATTTAGTTTAAATACAGCATTTCGCAGGGTAACACGTTCCTGCTTAGTAGTTCACCTTTTCGCTGTTTTAAAAACCTTTTACAGTCTGTCGAGAAGTCAAAAACTGTCTTGTTTTAAAATTAAATTTAAAGTTGTTCTCAATCCCACCATAAAACTGTTCTATACATTCATCATAAACTTCATTAGCAATTTTTTATTAATGTCTTGATAAAATACTCTATAAACCTGTTCTATCATTATAAAAGCAGTCATAAAACCATTAAGTTTTAAATGAGAACAAATGGCATATATTGTTGCCTTTTAGGCTTTTATAAGTGTATCATAAAATCTCCTCTGTTTGCAAATTGAATTTTAAGGATGGATCCTCACAGTGAATAAAAACCAAATTTATGACAAGGATATATCGAAGGATAAACGAAGTTGGAAGAAAAATTCAAGCGATGCTAACGACCGAAGGGTGGTCGATTTCAGAACCAGCACGTCCGGCGGAACGGGTACAATCAACGACTGAGCATCTGGTGGAGAAGAGAGAAGTGAGCGTGGTCCTCAAATTCATAAAACATTGTCAAAACAGCCTGAAAACAGACCAGCCTTCTCCAGACCTTGCGAATAGATGAAGATCGGAATAACTTGTGTCAGTACCGACAGCAAACCACTGAAACTGTCAGTTAGCGGACACTAGTTGGTTTCCGATCCATAGCTACGATTTTATTCGGTGAAAGGGTCATCACTTGGAAAAAATTAATTCAACTGTACATTTCTGCATCGTTTGATGGTGCACTTCCAGAACCATCCGGAAGAAGGGGATCTTTTCGGGAATTATCGAGGTTACAGCTGTGTGAAATGCGAAATGGTGTGAACACTTTCTTAGTAACTGCTTCGAAGCCATCGGGAGATAATCTCCTGGAAGAACGCTGAATCTAACAGCGCAACTATCGAAAGATAAACAAACTTTGACGTTTAACTTTTGCAGGCAACTTTGCCTCCATAAATGCTGCCATAAATCTGAACGGGTTAAGATCAAGCAAAATGGCTTTAGATAAATACAATTCAGCCTGCAAGTTTTCTTCATAAAAGCCATTTTACAACCTAAGGATTTTGTTATGGATTTCTTAAAAGCAAAACAACTTTTTCACAAATGACCCATGGAAATCAACTTTTATGCCACCGCCATGTTGCAATTAGTTTGCTTGTTTTTTTACAATCTTCGATTTTCTATCTATATTTCCTTGGATATAATTATATATTTGGTAAATTTAGCAATGAGCAAACATTTAAATGCGAAAATCAAAAAAAAAATAATCTCGGCCTAGCTCGATCTGAAAAATAATTTATTTTATTCAATGTAAAATAATTAGTCAAATCGACGTTTTACGAGAGCGGACCTATTTTTTTCGATGTTTTCATGTACACTTCACATGACATTTAATAAGGCACTTAAAACTAGGCCACATAATGAGAACTATTGTAATAAATTTGGATATTCAACACAATTTTTATACCATCAGTTTCTATTTTTATTATTTTGATAAGATCGGATTCATAAATCCTTTTCTATCTTGATTGATGCTTTCCTAGTGGATTTAGTGAGCGGCTAGGGGAAATGGCTCGGAAAGGGTTTTTATTGTTGCTAAATAGCTTTTGTTGTAGTTTTCAAATGGTTCTCAATGCGTTCGTCATACAACCTTTTGCAGTAAATCAATCTTGAAGAGCTTCGAGAATACACCCTTCAGAACCTTCTTCAGGGTGGGCCAACTAGACATATTCTAGTCTTAATGAGGTTTTGGTGGATGCATTAATGACAAGATAGCCTTGACCAGGGTTTTATGAATGTTATTTTATAGTTGCTTTGTAGTATTTCATAAAACTTAAAATGTTACTTGGGATTTGACATCTGTTGGAGGCAATGTACAACTTGTAGTTCGTTCAAATGTCTAAAAGATGGCAGTATAATCAACACCTACATAGCTACGTAATTGAACCATATACACTGAAGTCTTTTTTTACACGGTTTTTTTACACGGTTTT